GCATGTATCCATCTATTTATCTATATATTGGCATGTATTCATCTATCTATCTATCTATCTGTATATTCTGAAAGACTTAAATACCTATAAATCCCTAATCCTTACGAAGCTTTGTGAGAAGAAATAATAAAGCTTGATTGAATATTGGATTGCTCTCAGTCTCACCTCGTTAAAGTTCCTGGCTCTAATCTGCATTGCACACGTGCATTGTGCAATGCCAATATGTATGCCTATGCGGTGTACACCATATGTACATGCTGTATGTATGTATGTATGCCATGTGAACTGTGAACTGTGCACTGAGCAGTATGCAATGTGCAGCTATGCAGTACCCAAGACACAATCATGTAAAGAACCTAGTTTCTACCAATACTGATGAAGGATATAAAACAAGGTGAAAGCTGAAAGGTAGGAAATGAAGCCTTTATTTGATGGAGTTGGTTAATGACAGAAATGAGTGGAAAATTCAAATCAGACCCAATTAAAACTAATAATTTGATATATTCCTCTAGCGTTTATCCGTTCCTCCTCTAGCGTTTATCTGTCCCTCCTCTAGTGTTGATTCGTCCCTCCTCTTGTGTTTATCCGTCCCTCCTTTAGCGTTGATCCGTCCCTCCTCCAGCGTTGATCCGTCCCTCCTCTCGTGTTGATCCGTCCCTCCTCTATCATTGATCCGTCCCTCCTCTAGATTTGACAATATTATAGCGTAGTGTTAACCTTATCATCTCGGGGCATACTTTACATTCATTTATATATTCAAATACAAAAACATTTTCATACAGGGTGTCCCAAGAAAAATCTAGAAACTTTTGAAAATATTAAAAGTATTTATACTTTGTATTTCCTATGTGTAGGGATTAGAGCAGAAGGAAATACCTCAAGTTTTCAGGATATAATCCCTTAATAAAATGCATTAATAATAAAATGAAAGGGTAGATCAGAAAGAAAGGATGAATTCGAGTGAATGAATGAATGGATGAAAGGATGAATGAATAGATTATAACCTCAAACTGTCCAAATATTCTATTCTTTCTTATTATTATCCTATAATACTTTTCTCACAACCCCCCTCCCCATAATCCTCGACATATTACCATCCCTCCTCCCCTTCTATCCCCCCTATACCCCCCCTTTCATCTCAATTTAATCTAACATATTTTCCGCAGTTGAATATCATCATAATAATACTTCCTTTTAAACTTACATAGTTAAACCAGCATTATTCAAATATTAAGCTTATAAATCTATCTATCTATCTATCTGTATATATATCTATCTATTTCTCTACTATCCAAAAGCAAGGATGGGCCGGGGGGCCGGGGGGGGGCCTAAATAAGTAAAAAAGAACTTTGAAAAAACCTTGTTGTTGGAGAAACAAACAATGGTTATTATGACATTTTAGAAGTACATTTATTGCTTCTAGATATATGATATGATAAATAACGAGTGTGTAAAAGGAGAGGAAGTTGAGCAGGTCTTCTCTTGTTCCAAGGTCCGACACCACTGATTTGCGGATTTCATAATCATCTTTCGGGGATTTCATCCTCTACAACATATGATTTATTTCGTTTTCATGCTCCCTAGCTTTTGCACTGAGAGACCATTATTGGCTTTGCACTGAAAATTAAGCCGTGAGCTTCATGAAATATAGAAATTAAGCCGCGAGCTTCTTGAAATATAGAAATTAAGCCGCAAGCTTCTTGAAATATAGAAATTAAGCCGCGAGCTTCATGAAATATAGAAATTAAGCCGCGAGCTTCATGAAATATAGAAAATAAGCCGCGAGCTTCATGAAATATAGAAATTAAGCCGCGAGCTTCATGAAATATAGAAATTAAGCCGCGAGCTTCTAGAAATATAGAAATAAGCCGCGAGCTTCATGAAATATAGAAATTAAACCGCGAGCTTCATGAAAAATAGAAAATAAGCCGCGAGCTTCATGAAATATAGAAATTAAGGCGCGAGCTTCATGAAATATAGAAATTAAGCCGCGAGCATCTTAATATATAGTTACAAGAAATCATCCTTAATTATATGACCAAGACTTTTAAAATCTTTTTTGTCTCCTGCCACCAGTATGAAAAGGGAGTGTTCGCAAAAAATGAAAGCCGGGGTACAGGCTTACGTCGAAAAATATTCGATCGTGATCGCTACTAATCTTACTTCTATCTGTTGCGTCTTTAAGGAGAAAATTATTAACCGAAGAATGTATAGCGTCCATACAAATTCAGAAAGTTGCAATATTCGACTCGGATCGTTAAAAAATCAATTTAATTCCAAACAAATCAGTCAGATAATACAACTTATAACTATCGATCAGGGGCGTATGAGGGGGGGGGGCAAAATACTTTAAAATCTCACTTTTGCCCTTAACTAAAAAATCTTCATTAAAAATCTCTAATCAAAACTGCCTTCAGTGTAAATATAAGTTTGATTTCATTATTCATGGTTATACAATATGTATCATTCCTATAAAAATAAAGATATTTTTTAAAGAATAGTTTCCATCTCTATTATCACCCTTTGAAGCTTAAACCACAGTATTAAGAAGGATTGTCTGATGAGTCCACTTAAATGATTTGATTTTAACACTTGTTATATGGAAGTGTGTATATGATTGAATAGTTTAGATATGTATCAATATTTTTTCAAAAAAGGGGTTTTTAAGAGGGGGGGGGCACAATGTTGCCAAGGTGGGAGGGCACCGTCATTTTTTGCCCCCCCCCCTCACCAAATGCTCTCGTATGCTTTCGACGCATTCGTATATAGTTGATATTTCATAATATATTTTTTTGTTTTATATAAGATGCAATTTAAAGGGAGTGTTCGCAAAAGACAAAAGAGGCTTTCGAAGAAAATAAGCGCTTTTGATCGCTACTAATCTTACTTCTATCTGTTGCGTCAATAAGGAGAAAATTTCCGTGTTTGTATAGGTTTCCATGCTTGCATAGGTTTTAGTGTTTGTATAGTTTCCGTGTTTTTACAGGTGTCCGTGTTTTTACAGGTTTCCGTGTTTGTTTTGGTTTCCGTGCTCGTATAGGTTTCCGTCTTTGTATAGTTTTCCGTGCTGGTATATGTTTCCGTGTACGTTTCTATAGGTTTCCGTGCTCGTATAGGTTTCCGTGTTTGTATAGGTTTTGTGTTTGTATAGTTTTCCGTGCTCGTATATGTTTCCGTGCACGTTTGTATAGGTTTCCGTGTTTGTATAGTTTTCTGTGCTCGTATAGGTTTCCGTGTTTGTATTTGTTTCCGTGTTTGTATAGTTTTCCGTGCTCGTATATGTTTCCGTGTACGTTTGTATAGGTTTCCGTGTTTGTATAGGTTTCCGTGTTTGTATAATGAAATGCAAAGTATGTTGCTGACATAGTTAATAGTAAACTGATTGCTGCTCAGGAAGGGCTGGAGGAAGTTGACCCTGTCGCTGATGTTGACTTCAAGTTGACCTTCATATCTCTAGCTTGACATAAAGATATATAGGTTGACCTACAGATATCCTAGTTGACACACCGCTAGATATCGAATTTAACCTTGATGTGTAAACACGTTTAAACCTGGTTACCAGGTTTAAACGTGTTTACACATTCTGTTCAAATAGCTGGGTCTAGGGGCAGCATCAATATTATAATATATTTTTAATTATTTAATACAGACCTACATATCATACTTTCAGGAAGGTAGACCACGGCCTTAAGATCTGTGACTTTGTTTAAATTCATCATAGAAATAACAGTAAACATTTTGTTTACATATTTATATATGTTCGCTATAGCTGGCCAAACGAATAGACCAAATTGGCTGATATTTTTTTAAGGGAACCCATGGGTACCCTGCAGATAACATAGGCTAAAAAATCGAAATTTTATTCTCCTTTAAAAGTAGTTTTTTATTTCACGGGCAACGCCGGGCAGTTCAGATATTGGTATATCATATATATTCCTTAGAACAGACTAAAGTGACAGAATGTATGAAAGACCTGCAGACAGCAGGAGATGTCGTTTTCAAAGATTCTTAGACGAGATGATGAAAACTTTAAATTTCGGGGATTTTCAGGAATTCCACTTTCTCTCATTAAGACTGTAAAAGACTGTATAGTGTATAGGTAGTAAGGAAGGAGGGGTATGCTATGGTTTTCTTGAAACCTGAAAGGAAAATAATTAACTAACAATAGCACTCATACTGTCTAAAATTTACATATATATCTATCTATCTGGTCAAGTCAAACCAATTTTCTTCATTACTTTTACTCTATCAATCAATCCGTCTATCTTTCTTTCTTTATCAACGATTGTTCCCTTTAATTCGCTGTTGTTATTCTTTCTGTTTAGTGTTCATCTCTGTCTATTTTACTGTTTATCTACCTATCTATCTATCTGTCTATTTCCCGTCCGTCTCCCTGTATTTTCTATCTATTTATCTAACTTTCTGTCTGTTTCTTTGTCTATTTCCCTGTCGTTCTTCTTGTATTGTAAATGCTTCTATATATCTAGTCCCTGTCTAGTGTCTATTTTCGTGTAAATCACCATGTCTATCTCCATAAATATCTTTCAGTCTATACAACCTTTTTAAATACCCCTGTATCTTTAAATCCTGGTTTCCGGGTATCCTTGTATCCGTATACCCCTGTATGTTTGAATCCTTGTATCCGTGTATCCCTGTATCCTTGTATCCGTATACCCCTGTATCATTGAATCCTTGTATCCGTGTAGCCCTGTATCCCTGTATCCAAGTATAGGATTACATGTGAAGGGTATCGGAGTATATATTTCACCAGGTTGAGAACTTACAAGGATTCACAACTTGTAACCCAGTAACATGTGATACATGTCTCATCCGGTTCCAAATATATCAGGCGTAACTTTGTAACACACCTTTATAACCTTTTAAAAACCACGCCCCCTCCCCCTGCCCACCCCCCCCCCCCTCTTTTCCCTAAACGCAGAGGTGAAAAAATATGAACCCTAACTTAGCAATTTTTTACAAAGAAATTTATTTAACATGAAACAAATATTTCTTACCAAAAACTGATCATTGTTTAACTAGTGTAGTGTATGATGATGGTGATATATTTAAAACTGTATTTTGTATATTTTATCAATAAAGGTCTCTGGCATGGCTACAAGTTGTTGAATAGAGACTCCTAGGAATAGTCCAACATATCCTCCTACTTCAGCCAGCATCTCTAGAAACCCGTAGGGTATAGAAGACCTCGTAACCTACACCATTCATATAGATAATTACACTCACCACTTAAAAGATGATTAATTAAATAATAATTGATAATTAAAAAATAATTAATAATTGCATAATTTAAACAATGGGTTTAGAGTGAAGCGGAGTCAATATCGCCTTTCTCATCAAGGATAAAATCCGCCACCTAGACAAGATAAATCCTCCAATTGCTGTTTTTCACTTTTTTGCCTTCTTACATTGTCGGCGGATTTCATCCTTGAAAATATGGTTTTAATTACAAGGTGTCCTACCAGACTAAAGATCGTAGTTCAGAGACAACTTTAAGATCCTGTTTGATCTTTTTGAACTATGTGTGTAATAATGACGGAATTACGCCACTTATTAGCACTTAAATATTCTAAGAGTAGAGCTATGGAACAATTTTTTTCGCAATGCTCAAATCCACCAGTTCTAACATTTTTTAAAAACAGTTTTCAATAAATGTTGGAATTTTTATTTTATAATTTTCAAATTGATTCAGATTTTTGTCTTTTTGTCAAAATGAATCAAGACTAGTATCAATTTATCTGTCTTTAAAAACTATTTTCAGAAACGTTAAAATTGTAAAAATCCTATGACAATAAATCAAATTAAAAGAAAAAAAGTTTTTGAAAAGATATTTTTCAAAATGAAACGAGTTAATTTCAGCCTTAAAATAAATATTGAAAAACGAACAAATGGGCGGTATATATGTTTTGAAAAAAATGAAAAATCAAACCTCCATTATGATCTCTGTTTTTAAATCGTAAATTACTGAATGCGTTTTTTTTCAATTGTTTTCTTTTATAATGTTGCTTCGAATTTGCAACTGAATATTTTTTTTGCTGGTGCAACAAGGATTTGACATTTTCTATGAAAGATTTAAGACGAGAGCCTAGAACCGAAATATAAATATAACCTTGACAGATTGTTTGAATGTGATGGCTAGGTATCCATACCCCATCCCCTCCACCTTGTAGGAGAACTGCGAGGCAAACATCACCTCCGAGCTCTCACACGGGGATCCACACATACTATCTTTACAGGGAAAAATATCCAAACATATTTAAATTTAAAGAGAATATACACGACGAACCATTATTTCTTCATGAAATATTTAGTTTTTAAGCCATAGAACTGGAGATATTACTCTTTCTCGTCTGTCTAACAGTAGCTTTCTAGAAACTTTCTGGTCTAAAGTGATGTATTGTCAGATAAAAAATATTGTCCTTCCTCCCCATCAATTCTGTGGTGTTGTGAATCGTTATTGGCATTATTAAAATAAAGAATAAACAACGAGACAATATTTGCAGTTTCACCGTGAATTCATACTGTTATTACTAAAAAGGTTTGATGAGGATATAGTAGGGTGGAAAGGTCAAATATTTTAAAGAGTTTTTCATATTTTGAGTTTAATATATCAATCCTTTTGATGGGTTTCGGGTCTGTTAAAACGGAGGAGAGGGTTTGGGAAGGTTTTCATAATATTAGGTGTAGACGTAGTTAAATACCAAAATCTAGGAAGGGGAAGGTGGTTTTGGATTAGAGAGGAAAAATAGGTTTAGAGTGGATTATAGAAGAAAACTAGGTTTAGAGTGTGGGGTAGGGAGGAAACTAGGTTTGGAGTGGATTAAAGAAGAAAACTAGGTTTAGAGTGTGGGGCAGGGAGGAAACTAGGTTTAGAGTGGATTAAAGAAGAAAACTAGGTTTAGAGTGTGGGGTAGGGAGGAAACTAGGTTCAAAGTGTGGTGGATTAAAGAAGAAAATTAGGTTTGGAGTGTGGGGCAGGGAGGAAACTAGGTTTAGAGTGGATTAAAGAAGAAAACTAGGTTTAGAGTGTGGGGTAGGGAGGAAACTAGGTTCAAAGTGTGGGGTAGGAAGGAAACTAGGTTTAGAGTGTGGATTAAGGAGAATAATTAGGTTCAGAGTGTGGATTAAGGAGAAAAACTCGGTTTAGAGTGTGGATTAGGGAGGAAAACTAGAATTAAGGTGTAGATACGGGAGGAAAACTAGGTTAATAGGTTGGATTAAAAAGAAAAACTAGGTTTAAAGTGTGGATTAAGGAGAATAACTAGGCTAAGAGTGTGGATTAAGGAGAAAAACTAAGTTTAGAGTGTGGATTAAGGAGGAAAACTAGGTTTAGAGTGTGGATTAAGGAGAAAAACTAGGTTTAGAGTGTGGATTAAGGAGAAAAACTAGGTTTAGACTGTGGATTAAGGAGGAAACTAGGTTAAGAGTGTTAATTAAAGTTTAGAGTGTGAATTAGGGAGGAAACTAAGTTTAGAATATGGATTAGGGAGAAAAACTAGGTTTAGATTGTGGATTAAAGAGAAAAACTAGGTTTAGAGTGCGTATTAGGGAGAAAAACTAGGTTTAGATTGTGGATTAAAGAGAAAAACTAGCTTTATATTGGAGATTAAGGAGAATAATTAGATTTAGAGTGTGGATTAAGGAGAAAAACTAGGTTTCTTCCATAGAAAATTGTATTTTACTCACCATTGAATCCATTAACCCAGTTCAAAACAATATCATTTACTCCGCTAGTACACGTTTTATTCTTACACACAGAGTAGTTGGAGGGAACATTGTTCCATGGACTAAATAGGAAATAGTAGTTGGAGGGAACATTGTTACAGGGGCTAAATAGCAAATAGTAGTTGGTGGGAACATTTTTCCATGGACTAAATAGGAAATAGTAGTTGGTGGGAACATTGTTCCAGAGACTAAATAGGAAATACTAGTTGGAGGGAACATTGTTACAGGGATTAAATAGGAAATGGTAGTTGGAGGGAACATTGTTCCATGGACTAAATAGGAAATGGTAGTTGGAGGGAACATTGTTCCAGGGACTAAATAGGAAATAATAGTTGGTGGGAACATTGTTCCATGGACTAAATAGGAAATAGTAGTTGTAGGGAACATTGTTCCAGAGACTAAATGGAAATAGTAGTTGGAGGGAACATTGTTCCATGGACTTAATAGGAAATAGTAGTTGGAGGGAACATTGTTCCAGGAACTAAATGAAAATAGTAGTTGGAGGGAACATTGTTCCAGAGACTAAATAAAGAATGTTAGTTGTTGTTGGAAGGGAAGGGCTAAAAAGGTTTGTTTAAAGGGACTGTAAGCATATTTTCAAGTGAGTTTCCATGAACAGATGGCAAAGCCGGATTTCCAACGGTACCCTTTAAACCTTAGACTGGTCAAGATTGCTGAATTTATTCTCTAAACATTTTGTTTTTATGCAAGATGTTTTCAGCTTTTAAAACATTAATATTCACTTTATAGAACTTTTGGAAACGGCTTTCAATGTAAATATTCGGTAATGTCAAGGGACAAAAGTAATGCATCGCATCGTACACTGTGTTTTATAGGAATTCAAGTGGATTTCAATAGATTTAAACACAGAGCTCTATTTACTCAATGAACAAAGGTTTTAAGGGTACTGTTGTAAATCGGTTATTCTTGTTTTTTTTTTAACCTTATACATCCATACTCTGCCACAGAGTAATCATGAAGCCATTGCTCATTGCAACTGAAAAATAAAGTTAGTATTATGACGGAAAACTATTTTTATAAAGGGCTTTATCAAGATTTAATGCGATCAAGGTGTGATTCTATTTACGCGTAAAGAACCATCTACCACATCGTGTTATGAAATTTATCGTTTTATGAAATTTATCGTTTTATAAAATTTATCGTTTTATGAAATTTATCGTTTGATGAAATTTATCGTTTTATGAAATTTATCGTTTAATGAATTGGCGAGATGAAGAAGGTTTCAGATTACTGATATGCTGCGTACAAAAATCTTCAAATGATCATGCATGGAGTTTCACCTGTCAAACCCGGTATTTAGTTCTGAATTGCAGAGCTTTCCATGAACCCGGATCCTCTCAAAGTGCTGTTGGGTTAATATTAGATATATCTTCTCATCTGTATTTAGGAACACCTAGATACAGGATATATTTTAAGTATCCAGGAAACTGATTCATTCCTTGATCCTAGGTTAATATTAGATATATCTTCTCATCTGTATTTAGGAATACCTAGATACAGGATATATTATAAGTATCCAGGAGCATGCTTCATTGCTTGATCCTAGGTTAATATTAGATATATCATCTCATCTATCTGTATTTAGAAACACCTAGATACAGGATATATTATAAGTATCCAGGAACCCTGCTTCATTGATCCTAGGTTAATATTAGATATATCTTCTCATCTGTATTTAGGAGCACCTAGATACAGAATATATTATATCCAGAAACCCTGATTCATATAGTGCAGAATCTTGACAAAATAAAAAAGTTCGAATTATTTCTATTTAATTATCATTGACAATTTCTGTTCATCTACGTTGACATAAAACTATATATATATATAACATGGTAGACAGTAGACCTTAGATACACTATTTTAATCTACGCTTACATACATACAAACAAATATAGATTACTACTTCTATATAATAAAGCTCTTCGCTCATTTATAATATATATATATACATATATATATATATGTTAGCTGCCCAAACGGCTGGACCGATTTGGCTGAATTTGATTTTTTAAAAAGTTGCACGGGAAACGCTGGGCACTTCAGCCAGTTACTTTTATGAAATTTTAGAAAATAGAGACAACTTTTCATCCTTCACTAATCCCGATTTTTTTCTGCAATTCTGCACTTTCATCGTAACAACCACTCCCTGAAGGTCAAATAAAAATGTCTGTATACTATGCAACAAGAATCCATAATTGTTAATATTTATTCACCCTGTCCTGATTATTAATATTTATTCACCCTGTCCTGATTATTAATATTTATTTACCCTGTCCTGATTATTAATATTTATTTACCCTGTCCTGATTATTAATATTTATTTACCCTGTCCTGATTGTCAATTCCACTCCTCTGGCCATAGTGGCTGAATCCGATCAATGTGTTAACCTGGAAAAATCGGAGAAAATTTGAGTTATTTTCATAATTAAAATGAAATTTTAAAAAATATATTTTGTTTCGCAAAAAAAATATTTTGCACCTTTGTATTTATATAAATTTGTGAAACTCCTTTCTTCCAGAGAAACTCTGGAACCTGGAACTTATAACAGACACCAGAGTTTTTATTCTTCTCCGTAAACAGAGGAGAACTGATGTTACTATCCGGCCTCTCGTAGTAGTAGTACCTAAATATTTACAGAGAAACATCGGCATACACAGGATTATTGTTTTTTTTTTCTTTATTTTTCTTTATTCCTTTTTGTATGTCCGAGCATGACGCATAAACCCTATAACCGATTTGCCTTAGATTTTGATTGTGGACCTCCGTAGAACCATTGGCAAAGCTGGGTTTCCAAACTAGTTGTACAATGTACACAAAGGAGATGTTACCTAAGTATTATGTGGAAAAATAATCAAAACAGCCAAGAGCTATTTTCCACTTAGATGCGTTATACTTGTACTGTTAAAAACCATAAAGGAATTGAGTCTTTTCCACAAACTCTAATTTTCTAATCCCAATATCTTTGTAACCCAATTTCGGAGACCTTAGATATTTAAAACTATGAATTCTATTAGATTAAATAATTTAAGTTTGAAATATCAAAGGTCTACTACAATACATTCCAAAGATATGGGGATTAAAAAATTTTAGTTTGTGGCAAAGACTCAATTTCTTTGTAATTATGAATAATAAAATTTATCTTAATTTACCTAAAATCAGGTCCTGGTGACCTGTAATACCCTTTCTACAAGTTCATCATCAGATCAAATAAATTCATTGAAAACAATTAAAAATATAAAAAAGCATTAACATTTTATAATCCATTCAAAGAATTCTGCAGATAAAATTTCAAATGTCTGAGTGGAATGTCTGATTCCCAACAGTACTCTTTACATATTTATCAGATCAAGTACCAAATACTTCGGGTAATACTATTCAAGCTCTTAAAGCATGATTTGTGTATTTATGCTACAAAACAATAAATACCAAATACTTCAATGTAATACTATTCAAGCTCTTAAAACATGATTTGTGTATTTATGCTACAAAACAATAAATACCAAATACTTCAATGTAATACTATTCAAGCTCTTAAAACATGATTTGTGTATTTATGCTGCAAAACAATGAATACCAAATACTTCAATGTAATACTANCCCATAATAAAAAACATATAAACATTTATGCTGCAAAACAATGAATACCAAATACTTAATTTGATACTATTCAAGCTGGAAAAGGTACTGTTGTGAATCGGACAAAGCTGTTTGGAGAGTCTCTTGAAATTACAACGACAGAGCTTTGAGAATTATTGAATTTTACTTTTAACTATTTGATCTTCCCTCTATATAAAACTTCCAATACTCTTGCCCTGTCTTGATTCTGATGCAAACATTGGAAATAAATGTTGAAATTATGTTTTTTAGATGCTTGGGAAAAAATTGTTCGAAGAGAATTTTTCCCAAAAGAAGAGGTAAAATTGAGAAAAAAAATAGTTTCCAGTTTCCTGATCGCATCGTTGTCAGCAAACACTTCATTCCTCTTCAGAACTATCTCCTGAAGGATCTGCACCAGAAGCAAAATGTTATTTTTTTTTGTCATTTAGAAAAAAAAATTTCAAATATTTTTTTTTTTTTATACTTTCCTGATCTGAAGTCATGTTTGTTGTGTTTCCAAACCAGTTCTCTGATTCCAGGTAGTAATCTTTTTTAAACCCTAGTTTACGAGCCCGGCTCTAAACATGAAGACCAATTAAAGGGACTGATTGAGAAACTTAGAGGAAAATAGAATGATTAGTTCTCTCAGCCGTCTTATTTCTTCTGACATAATTATTTTGAATGATTTCAGTTAAAACTTTGAATTTTTCGATTCAACATTAAATTTTTATTCATCCTACACCCCTTCAGCTGTTTAGCGAGCACCCTTTTATAAAAATAGAAAACTTGTGAAAACGAAGTAACTTGAAGCAAGTGTTCAGTTCTTTCTATTCCCAATTTTTAAAGTTTTATTTCAGAAAATTCATTTTTAAAATACGTTGCAAAGTTTCATTGTCATTAAGCAGCAATTACACTGAAATTATCTTAAGAATATAATAAAGATTTTTCTTATAATTATTATTATTATTATTATTAATGTTATTATTATTATTATTATTATTATTATTATTATTATTATT